AGAGGATGAACAGGTGAAGACAGGAGGTGCATGTAGGTCATGTAAAGGAAGCACCCATCTTCACAAATAGAAGATAATATTCCTTAACCAGTGTCCGTGGAAACACGTGCTCTGAGAGGTATTTTTTAGGTGATAGTGAGAGGTTGGGCTGAGCTACCTACAACCTACCTTAGTTTCCCATGTGACAGTGTGCTGTGGCCAACAAAAAGCTTTACTCTCTTTGTAAAGCTAATCAGCCCAAGTTGAGAGTCCCCGCCTTTTTTCAGACTCTGCCTCCTTACTTTTCACCTGGATTACTGCAGGAGACGGTTACCTGGACTCTCTGCCTCTCAACCTGCCCCATCTCACACATTCCCCACACTCTAGTCAGGGGCAAACACAAATCTAACCATGATATTTCCTACTTAGAACCTGCCAAGGGCTTCTCACAGCCTCTGAATAAAATTTACTTCAGCAAATATATGGGCTTCTAAAGCCAGCTTCTGCCTATTTCTTTATGTTTACTGTCCAACAATTCACTATCCTGAACTCCAAATATATCAACACAGTTCTTCAAACATACCAGGCTACTCAAGCCTTTGTGTCTTCTCAGTCTTAGGGAGTCCAGAAGATCCTTGGCCCTTCCGTACCTGGTGAGCTCTCCTCATCCATTAAGATTAAAACCAAGCTTCACTTTGTCTAGGGAGCCTCCCTCTTTGACCATCCTTCTCCTCCCATCAGTTAGGTGCCTATCCTCTGTGTCCAAGACTAGTGCATACGTAGTCATGGGACTTGTCATCATAGTCACTGACAGTATAGTGCAGCGATCAAGCACATGGACTTTGGAATCACAGAGCCTGAGCTGCATAGTGGGCTTGCTACTTAATAACCAAATAACCTTGAACAAATTACTTAAATTAAGCTCCAGTACCCTCATCTGTAAAGTAGAGGTAATAATAAAAGCACCACCAAATAGAGCTGTCTTCAGGATTACACATGACAGTGCATGTTAAGTATGTAGCAGGGGGACTAACATAAAGTAAATCCTAAAAATCTTCCTATAGTCTGAGCTTCTCCTCCCTTCTATCACCTCTTCTGCTGTTCTCCAGCAATGCTCACCAGCATTGCTACTAAAGGGAGCCCAGTCATGCTATGGTGGGCTTCCCGTCATCTTTAATCTTAACTCTGACCTAACGCGTGAGGAAAGTGGGCTGAGGACCATGCAGTCAGGCCCCATCAAAGTCTTGAGACATGACTTTCTTCTTCTCCTGTTCGGTGATAAGAATGATGCTCAGAGGTCTCTATTAACCCTAAAGTCTCTAAAATAAGATGCTGAAATAAAGACTCATGATGAACTAAGTGAAATGAATAGGCATAAACATAGAAAGGAAAATTTAGGTTACAAAAGTCAACACAATCATATTTGGCCAGAAATGTTTTAAAAACAAACTCCATCTAAACCAAATTTGTTATGCAGTTGTTGGAAAAGTTAACATACTCAGGTCATCTACCTAGAAGTCTAGTGTCCAGAGCAGAGGCAACAGTCCTGCTGTACCAAGCACTGGTCAGACCACATCTAGCCTAGCACATTCAGGTCAGGACACCACACTTTAAAAGGCACATGACAAACAATGTACCCAGCGGAACCCCAAACAAAAACCCACTGCCACTGAGTTGGTTCTGACTCACAGCGACCCTACAGGCAGAGTAGAACTGCCCCATGGGGTTTCCAAGGCTATAAATATTTACAGAACTGCTTCATCTGTCTCCTGCAGAGCGGCTGATGGCTTTGAACCACCCACCTTTTGGTTAGCAGCAAATGTCTTCACCACTGTGCCACCAGAGTGCCTTCATCCAATGGAAGAGAATAATAAATGGAAACAGCACTACATGGGCAACAGGTAGAATACCATGGTCATTTAGCTTAGTAAAGAAAACAACTCAGAGAGGACACCATACGTGACTTTAAATATCCAAAGAGCTGCCGTGTGCAAGTGGTCTGAGGCTTCCATGGATGCCTCCAGGGGATAACCAGGGCAAGTAGGAGAAGTTATAAAGTATCAGATCTTGGCCTCAGGTTCACATCAAAGCTTAGCGATCCTGACAGGCCCCCTGCTCCCTTCTGAGGAAAAGTGCCCCATACCCTGTACCTGCTGAGGGAGCAGCCTCATGCAGATAATGGCATCTCACGCCACTCTGACTGAAAAGGGCCATCTCATCAAGAAAGTGCCAAGCCTAGGCTGAACAGTGATTTACAATGTGTCTTGGCAAGTAAAAATGGTCTGGTACAATCAGACTGTTTTTCTTGAATATCTAGTCTAGGAAAGCCAAGAGAATATGGCAGTGAGCAGTGGGAGCTAAAGATGAAAAGATGCCACGAGGTAAAGAGAACAAGCCATGAGCGAGACCAGACAAACTAGATGGTGTCCGGCTACCACCACGACTGCTCTGAAGGGATCGTGACAGGAGGTCCTGGATAGGGCAGGAGAAAAATGTGGAACAAAACCCAAAATAATAAAAAAGACCAAGCTTACTGGTCAGATAGAAACTGGTGGAACCCCTGACAGTATGGTCCTTAGACATCCTTCAAACCAGAATTGAACCCATGCCCCGGCTCAACTTTTAGCCCAGTAACAGACAGGCCTGTAACAGAGACAATAACTCCAGAAAGGTACATACTCCTTAGAGCAATCAACCATACAGATCAAAATGGCAACAGCTGCCCAAGGCTAAATCTCAGAAGGCAGGAGGAGATAGGAAAGAAGGACAAAGGGAAATGGTAAACGCCGGGAGGAAGCGCAAAGAGGGCTGTCACATTGTGGGGACTGCAGTGAATGTCACAAAACAAAGTTTGTGTATGGATTGTTGAATGGAAAACCAATTTGCTCTGTTAACTTTCACTCAAATCACAATAAAAAGTGACTGGAAAAAAAAAAAAATTCAGACTTAATGGACCCACTGACATAGGCAGAATCCTGGAGACCACTACCTGAGATAAGTCTTGAACTGAAATTATTCCCTCAAGTCATCTGTTTAGCTAAACACTTAGCTCATAAAGTAATGAATATCCCCTGAAACTACTGCCATGAGATAATCTTTAAACCTTAAACCAAAAATATCCCCTCAAGCCTTCTTTAAAGCAAACAACAGTAATTAGTAAAAAATGTCTACCTTCTTGTGGGCTCAGGGGACCAGTTCAGGACATCAAGTTCAATTGGCATAACATACTACACAAAAACACTCTCCCACACCCTACTTTGGCGAGTATTAACTGGGATCTTAAAAACTTGCAAGTGGCCATCTAGTTGCAACGATGGGTCTCTCCTTGTCCAGAGCAAAGAATGAAGAAAACCAGACATGCATAGAAACAATTAGTCCAAGCAACTAGTACACTATGTGGTCCTAAGCCTATACGACTACGAGACCAAAAGAACTAGATGGTGCCTGGCTACCACTGTCAACTACTCAGAAGGGGATCTATGTAAGAGATCCTGGATAGAGAGGGAGAACAATGTGGGACAAAACTCAAAATCATAAAAGAGAAAAAGGGACCAGGTTTGCTGGTCTGACAGAACATGGTAGAATCCCTGAGACTATGGCCCCTAGCTGCCCTTCAGGTCTGGAACTGAACCCACTCCTGTGGCTTCCAGCCAAACAAAGGACAGGCATGTGAGGTGAACATTTACACTAGTAGATGTACTCCTTGGAGAGAACAATCATGGGAGAAGAGAAGGGCTGTGCATGCACAGGGAGACAGCTCGGGGGGGCAGGAGTGCATAGGAAAGAAGAGGTGGCAATGGGGAAGAAGTGGGAGGAGAGCTGTTGCATTGTGGGAGATTCCAGTCAATGTCATGACACAAAGTGTATGTGAACTGCTGTATGGAAGATGAATTTGCTCTATAAACTTTCAACCAAATCACAGTAAAATAAAAAAAAAATAAAATAAAAAAAAAAGCCTACCTTGAGCATTCTGTTTTTTAAAGAACTTTTTATATGGGATCAAAAAGAAAATAGCAACTCAAAAGATTAGATAGACCCTGAGGGGGCAGTGGATTTATATTAATGGGGGAGGAACAACTCAGAAAAGGACGGTGAGAATGGCACCTGGAGAAAGAGTTGAATCGCTGTATGTTTTGCTGTGTGTATTCATGACAAAAAATAAAATGAATAAATGAATGAATATCACTCTTTAGTACTGTGCTTTTTTAAAAAAAAAAAAAAACTATAATAGACTAGATAGTCAACAAATACTTTAAAGCACAGATAAGAAGGTTAGGGGACTGTGAGACTAAGTCAATGGGTGCAGGACAATTAGAAGTGGAACTAATGAGAATATTGACACGATGTGAAGAATGTAACCAGTATCCCAGAACAGTATGTGTATAAAATGTCGAATGGGAACCTGTTGTGCTATGTACATTTCCACTGAAAAATACAGTAAAATGTGATTAAAAAACACTAAAGTTTCCAGTGGTGAAGAAAGCTGACTTGGATGCCAGTGCTCTGCATGCTACAGGCTGTGCCACTTGATCACGTGGCAGAGATCTGAGAGGTACCTCTTCTGGGTGAGCAGGTGGAACAAATGACCTCTAATGGCCTTAAGGTTCAGTCCGTCTGTGTTATAACAGTTATAATTCTTCCACACTTTGTTTTTTGCAGTACTCCCACAAATTCAACCCATTATCATCAGAACTGCCCCCACAATGCAGACAGAGTAAGAGATGACAGCTTGTGTTTGGACAGAGGTGGTAGAGAGAAGTGAACACTCCAATTAAGCGATAAAACCAAGGCTTAGGGAGGTTAAACAATTAACACAAGGTCATGCAGCTAGTAAGAGGCAAAATCAGGATGTCCACACTTCCAGTTAAGTATTTTTTCTAATTCCACATAACTCTCCTTCATTCAAGTTTTCCTTCTGCCTTAAGTCTCCCTGGCCCTTGGCATGCCAGTATAGACCACTGTGCTACAGGAAAATATAAGAGACCCCGCAGCTGCTGCCATGACCCCAGTTCTCTCCTTACCGAGGTGCTTCTGCAGGAAGGCCAACATGGCCCGTACTACGATCTCCTGACCTTCATAGGGGTCCAAGCTCCCACGGGTTTGAGAGGAGAAGAATCTACCAATCAAACTGCTTGTCACAAAGGCAAAGTCAGTTTGACTCCGATGAACAGAACCACTAGAATAAAACAAAAACAAGTAATCGGTTGGGGGCTTGGGGGCTGGGGCACACACATATTTGTTAAGCACCTACTATGTGCAAAGGAGCTTTGGTGGCACAGTGGTTAAAGTGCTTGGTTACTAACCAGAAAGTTGGTGGTTTGAATCTACCAGCTGCTCCATGGGAGAAAGATGTGGTAGTCTGCTTCTGTAAAAATGGATAGCCTTGGAAACTCTTTGCAGCAGTTCTACTCTGTCCTACCCAAAACCCAAACCAAACTCATTGCCATTGAGTCAATTCCAACTCATAGCAATCTACATTGGTTTTTCAAAGCTGTAAATCTTTATAGAAGCAGATTGCCTCATCTTTCTTCTGCGGAGTGACTTGTGGGTTTGAACCACTGATCTTTTTTGGATTAGCAGCCAAATGCCTTAACCACTACACCAGAGCTCCTTACTCCGTCCTATAGTGTTGCTATATGTGGGCACTGACTCAGTAGCGATAGGTTTTGGTTTGGTTATTATGTGCAAGGCGCTTTACATGTAATATATCATCTTAAGTAATTTTCACACCTATATAAGGGAAGTATTTTTCCCTTTGACCGAGAGGAATCTGAGGCTCAGAGAAATGAAACAATCTGCCCAAGGTCAAACAGCTAAGTAAGCAATGGAGCTAGGATTTGAACCCAGGTATGCCTGGTCTTCAAAGCGGATTATCCCCTGGGTCACACTGCCTGACAGTGCAGGGAAAATCTGAGTCAGCTAGACAGGGACAGGGGCAAAGAGAGGAGCACCTGCCATTCCTATAATGTTATAACCTATGGCACCATGGCTTTTATCTGCTGACTTCTGAACATTCACAAAACATTTTAACTCCTACTTCTTCAGAGCTGCAGCATAAGAAAGAAAAAGGAATTACTTGCCTTTATTTAAATAATCAGAAAAGTGAGGGCAGCTGTACTTAATTAAACAGGGTTTCCGGATTAGAACTTAAGTCTTTTGACATCAAATACATTGAATTTTTAGGTGAAATCCTGGCTAGGTTCATTTGGGCTAAATTACTTATAACTAAACTTACTAGTCAATTCAATGGGTAGGGAAAATCTAAACATTAAACTATTTATTTGATGTCATGCAGGAAAACTGACTTTTAAAAAATGCATTGTTTAAGGCACACAAAAAAGCACACAGAATAATACATGGGTCCTCGGAATCCATCACCTAGTTTAAGAAATAATACTCTGCCCAGAGTTAAATCTTCCTGTTATACCTCTTCTTCTCCCCTTTCCCTCCAGAGGTCAAATTATCCTTCATCTTACTGAACTGGGAAACTTAAGTGGTCCTTGACTGCCATGAAATCAAAATGCAAGGTAGGTAAGGGTCTGGTCCCAAGGAAGAGAGCCTGAGCCAAGATGAGTAAGGGAAATGTTGTTAACTACTGAGCAGACCCCCAGCATTCAAGACATTCAATCTAGCATTTCAACCACCTGAGTGATTCCAAAGGACCATGGCAGGCAGTGACTTGTTGTTTTGCTGAAATAGGAACTGGGATCCCTGAAGCATGTGTGCTTTGAGGTTCAAGTTCAGACGAGAGTGGTTGGGAGGGGAACTTGAGGGGGATTTAACTATTGGCAATGCATTATTTCTTAAACTAGGTGCTGGATACTCAAGTCAGAGAGCTAGTCAATGAGATTTCAGCATTGCATTGTAGTTCAAAGCCACTTCCTATGTAAATTTCTTAACTGACTTAAAATCTCGGTATGAGAAATGGCTCCCAAAATAAAGTCAACTGATAATAGTGGTGATGGAAATGAAGAGAATGTGGTTTCCCTTATTGAGAATATAGATGTTTTATGGAAGGAAATATATGCTAGAGTGGTATCTCTGAATTTAGATATTCATGAAGGTCTTTAAAAATCTATCTTGTGAATGTCAAAGGTCTGCCATATCCATACTCTTTCAAAAGACCCAATTAAATTCCCAACTAAAGCTAAAGATCTTTTGAGCCCACCAAGACCCACACCCTTTACTCTCTAACACATAATCCCACAATAGAGCAGCAGGCAAACCCTGTCACAAAGTCACATGGATTACTGAAACCACTGTAGATAGAACTACACAGAGAAAGGAGACAGAAAACTGTCTCAGTAAGGAACTGAGATATTGAAATTCAGGAAGTATTATATTCAGGTACTCTTTTAATGAGTAGAAACTTCTGGATAATCCAGAAGAAACTAAGGAAGCCACAGGTGAGTGGAAAATAGAACACTGGGCACATGACCTTGGTTGGGATTTACTCACAGGACAGTTATGATCTTAGATTGTTCATGATGAGTACATATCTTCTTCATCAAATTGATACTCTCCACTGTCTGGAATTTCTCAGTATTGATGAAGAATACAGGGCCTCGGGCACTGGGGTAAAAGTCACGTTCCAGAGGAAACATCCAAGCATCCAGAGCCACGGCACACCTGGAACAGAACCAGGCATTTGGAAATGCCAGGCAGAAACCCAAGCGAGAACTGTGAGGGTGGTAGGGGAAGGGTGGTGTTCTTCTCTCCACGGGCTGAAGGCTTCTGTTAGGCTTGGAGAAAGGGATTGCTTTTACCTGTTACCAAGGATCCTTCTAAATTTAAACTCTCTGAGCATAAGAATCAGTCTTTTTCATCTTCTGGATCTACTCTCAGGTGACTGATTTGAGTTACATACAATGGCACTCCATTCATTTAATCATTTGTTCATTCAATGTTCATTAAGAACCTACTATGTGCTTAGCTCTGTGCTGTGGATATGGAAATAAAGGCTATAATTCATGCTTTCAAGGAGCACTCTGTCTATCAAGAGAGACAGAACAGACAATGTAGTAAAACAATGTAGCAAAGTGCCCTGATCATACAAAGTGCTATGTGAACCCAGAAACACACATAGTACCGGTGGTCAGGGAAAGCCAGTGCCACAACTCAGAGACCTGGGCAGCAAGTCAAGCAGCAACCTCTGTCACCGAGGGCAAAACTAAGACTAAGACCCTTCCCCCCAATGCTTCCCTAGCCTCCTCTATCTCAATAAGGTACGTTATCATTCACCAAATGGTAGATACACAAATGAAAAACCTTGATTTGTCTTTCCTTCCCTTCCTCCATCATTAAGTTCTACAGAGTCCATAATACACCCTGACTCCATTCACTCTCTCCATACCCCTTCCTCCATCCTAATGCAGATCTGTCATTTCTCATGGGGATTCTCAAACAGCCTCCTTCTCACCTGCCTCTTTGTTTTCATTCTTGTCCTGCTACAATCCAGTCTTCATATAGAAACCAGAGGCATCTTTTAAAATATAGAGATTTTTTAAAAAATGTATATAAGATTGCTTTTTCTCTGCTTAACATCCTTCAATGGCCTCCCATCATACTTAGGCTAAAATCTAACTGCCTATCTCTGGTGGGGCAGTGGGTAAGGCATTTGGCTGCTAACCCCAACGTTGGTGTGATTCAAACCCTGTGGTTCCTGCTCTGCAGGAGGAAGATGAGGCAATCTACCTCCATAAAGATTTATAGCCTTGGAGACCCAATGGGGGTAGCTATGAGCCAGAAGCGACTTAATGGTCGTGGGCTTGGGCTTATCTCTCTGGTCACATCGTGAACTGCTTCCCTTCACTCACTGTGCTCACCGCCCCCAAGCATAAAGATGTCTCCATCTTTTATTTTTGTAACCTTACCAACTGCAGTGGGTTGAATAACATAGCCAGCTCGTTTCTATCTCGGGCCTGTGCGTTAGCTGTTTGCTCTGGCTGGAATGATCTTCCCTGGACCTTTGTATAGTTGGCTACTTTGCCTTTTGGGTCTTGGTTTCTGTGACATTCTCAGAGAAGCCTCTGGACACTCAAACATATCAGCCTGTTCTAATTTTCTCACTGTACTTGGCTGCTGGGGATTTTATTAATAGTTATTTACTGGTCTGTCTCCTCCCACAATAACATAATGCCATGAAATCAGAGACCTTGTTTCCTTGTTCACCACTGAATCCCCAGCTCCCCAGACAGTGGGAATAGTACTTATGTAAAAATACTTGTTGAATGAATGAATACTGTGTGAAGCTTACAGTGGCATCACTGGAAAACTCACCGAAACTGGGTTTCCTTGGCCAAAGCCAGAATAGCTGTGGCCCCTCCAAAGGAATGTCCCATCACAGCCACACGGCTCATGTCAATGCTGCCCTGAGGAAAGTGAAGAACTTGGCCAAGTCAGATATTCAGGGCTCCTTCTCTAGGAATTCCTCGGGGCTAGAGGAAGAACTAGCGAGGCAATGAGGCAGAAAGCACAGTACAGTGATGAGGTCACCAAAGCCACACCACTGAGAACCTCTTGTCCCCTAGAAAGCAGCCAGGCAAGCAACCCGGACTGAACAGCCACCTGTGAGGAGGACCCTGAGAACCATGTTTCCATCTTTAGTTTTGTAACCTTACCATCTGTAGTGGGTTGAATAGTGCCCGCCACTGCCACCACCACATTCATGTCCACCCAGGACCTTAGAATGTGAACTGATTTGGAAATAGGGTCTTTGTAGATGTATTAGTTAAAGATTTCAAGATGAAATTATCCTTGATTCAGGGTAGACTCGAAATCAATGACTGATACGAGAAAGGAGAGAGAGATCTGGACAGACAAAGGAACAGGAAGGTCAGGGGCAGACAGAGGCAGAAATTGAAGCTATGCTGCCCTAAGGCAAGGAACACCATAAGCCACCAGATGCTCAAGAGGTGAAGAAGGATTCTCCGCTAGAGCCTCTGGAGAAAGCTTGGTCCTACTGACACCTTGATTTGGCCTCCAGAACAGTGAGAGAATGAATTTCTTTTGTTTTAAGTCACCAAGTTTGTAGAAATTTTTTACAGCAGCCCTAGAAAACTAATACAGAAGGCAAGAATTCTGAGAAATACATTTTTCATCTTTATTTCCATAACCTTTAACCACTGCCATCTAGTCAGATTCAACCAACTAATAGCTATCCCTCCTTGGGTTTCCAAGGCAGTATCACTACAGAAGTAGGTTGCCCAATCTTCCTTCTGAGGAGTGCCTAGTAGGTTTGAACCTCCAGCCTTCTGGTTAGCAGTCAGATGCCTTAGACACTATGCCACTAGAGCTCCATAACCTTTACCACCTAACAATAACAAGACTAAGGTAGACATTCAAACATCTATAAATGAATGAATAGAAATATGTGAAATTCATACCAACTAATCAATCTAAAAGGAGCTCTGGTGGCAAAGTGCCTAAGGCATCTGACTGCTAACCAGACGGTTAGTAGTTCAAACCCACCAGCCACTTCGCAGAAGGAAGGCCAGGCAATCTACTTCCATAAAGATTTACCACCTTGGAAATCCAATGGGGGTAGCTATGAGTCAGAATTGACTCAACGGCAGTGGGTTTTCAGTATGGATCTAAGAACATAGTTAGAACTAGAACTCTCTCCATCCTCTAGAATCTGCCTATGAACTAGTCCAGTGGGGAGGACATGTCGACTGAGTCGAGGATGGACTGGGGGAGCTCCTGCTGCCTAGTCCACTTTGCCCTGGAGCAAGTTCTGATGATAGAAACCAACTCAAATTCTTCCTCTGGATATCTGTCCTGATTTTTATCCAAAGCCTGGGTGAGTGGGGGGAGTGAGTCTGCTCGCTCTAACATGCTCTGCAAGGATCTATTTCTGGTTGTCCCCAGAAGGCTTCAGGGCATGGTTATATAAAAAGCTACTGCAGCTGCCTCTAAGGGGCTCAGGAAATCTCTCTAGGCTTTGCTGCCCAGCCTCTGAACCCCTGCTCTCCTCTGCTTTCCCTTCTTTCTCTCCCAACGCGTTGTACCTAAATTCTCCCTCTTTGCCCGGCATCTTCAGATCAACAACTCAGTTAGATCAATTTTGTAATTTATTTTTTCGGCTTTTTAAAAGTAGACTAACATATTCACATAATTCTAAAATCAAAAGCGTATAGAGAAGTCTTTCACGCACCTCACTCCTTATCCACATAGTTAGTTGCCCACTCCCTACTCCCACAACAAGTAACCAACAGCTATTAGTTACTTGCAAAGCTTCAAATTGGCTCAAACCAGTTCAGTCATGGTCAACAAAGTAAAACCAGAACAGCCCTGAATTTCTAAAATTCAGGCCCTTGTTTTCTAAGAGGAAGGTTAAGTTTTCAGCAGACCTTTGACCCATAATTTTTCCTGTTCTGGTTAGCATTCTGGTTCACTCACATTTTACAAATTCAGGTCCATTCCAGCGTTGCTGATGCCCATGAATGAGCAGATGAACTGGTTCAAAGTCCTGGTTTCTTGTGTGCCCTTGCAGAGATTCTTTATGCATACACAAGTAAACATGTATAGTTTCCCACCCTTTTTATGTATGTGGTACTATATCTTATTCTTTTGAATAACAGTATTAGTACACTTCTGATCCTTTTTTTACAGCTACGTTTGATTTCACCATGGTGTAGATAGTGAGCTGATCACCCTATCTGTTCCTCTTCCTCCTAGACATGCAACTAGATAATATTTTCCAGTTTCCCCTGCAGTCAGATGTAGCTTTGTGACTGAGTTCTAGGCAACAAAATGTAAGAAAAATGAAACCTCCACTTGCAGACCTGGTTCATAAAATAACTCCCTCATGCAAGCCTTATGCTCATTGCCATTCCTCTGGCTTAATATCCGGAGTGAAGTTGGGTTTCACAGGTTGCAGAGGGTAGAACCATAAGATGAAAGGAGCTTGGGTTCCTGATTCACTCCCCACAGGGGAGCACCCATTTTGGACATTATGTGGGAAAGAAATAAATTTCCATTGTGTTAAGCTACTGAGATTTGGTATTTAACTGCTATAGCAGTTAGCATTACCCCAATTAATAGATCCATTGTACCATAATCTAGTAAACCAGCTTCCTTAAAGATATGGACAGTAGTTAGATTACTACCAATCTTTTGCTTTTACAAACAACACTAGAATGAATACCTTTGTACATATATCATACTACATGTGTGCAGGCATCTGTAGGATAAATTTCCAGGACTGGAAACTACTTGGTCAAAGACTATTGTATTTGTACTGTTGATATCTACTGCTAAATTGCTTTCAGTGGGGCAACTGGTCCTCTCAGCAGCAATGCAGGGAGAGAGTACTGTCTTCCCCACAGCTTTGTCAACATAGTGAGTAATCAATTTTTGGATCTCACCCAATCTGATAGGTGAAATTTAGCTTTTTAGTTCTGTAAGTTCCCACAAGGCTGCCTTGCAACTAATCTAACTGCGGCTGCCAATGTCTGTCTCCAGCTCATAGGCATTCAGGCCTGGATTTGAGTGCCCTGGGCCTAACTTATCTGGTAGGGGTTGAAGATACACACCAAATAGTTGGTAAAATACCTTAGATTTCAGGTTCTGCCTTATCTACTGACCATTCAAGCAGATACTTCTCCCTGGATGACATGACTAGAGCCTTAAAAATGTGTTTTCTAAAGGGGCTCACTGCATAGGCTTTGGGATCAAAAAGCCCCAGTTCAAGTTTAACTTTACCACTTAGCTGAGTTAACAGTTAACCTTGGATACATACTTAGCCTCTTTGGTCCTTGGTTTCATTCCACATGAAAAAGTTATAATAAATAATACTTCATAAGTTTGAGTGAGGAACTCTTATCATATTTTTACTCATAAATGTTATTTTTTTAATATATACCACCCTCACTCATAAACAGTCTCTGGGACGAGCTACAATGGCCTAAAGCCAGTCTGTCTTGTCTTTCCAAAGACAGCCAATACTTCTTAGTTGGTTTAACATAGTTTGAGTTATGTTTCTGATACTTATAATCAAGAAAGTCCTGATGAATACATTCATTCCAGCTCCAACCATATTCTGCCATACCTTGAAGGTCTTCAGATCCAATCCACCAGGCAAGATGTTGAGGACAGTCTGCCCAGCAGTGACCTCTTGTAGGATTTTCAACACTTGTACACACTCACTCATCCTCTGATGCACCTGCAACAGAGACAGTCCCAGTGGGAGCTGGAATACTACACAATCACTCAGAGAGAATCTCACATAACTGTAGGCCAAGAAAGTTTGCCCATCCACTTAGCAAGCACCATGGGACCCAACATCTTGAGAAAGACTCAGCTCCTTCACAACCCCCACGACGTTGTTGTTAAGTCCTGTTGAGCTGATTCCAACTCACAACAACTCCATGTGTGCAGCATGGACTGCCCCATAGGTTTTCATGGTTGTAACTTTTCAGAAGCAGATCACTGGGCTCATCTCCTGAGGTGCCACTGCACCAATATTTGGCTAGGATTCAAACCACCAACCTTTGGGCTAGAAGTCAAGCATTAAACCCTTGGCACTGCCCAAGGACTCCCACAGCCCATGTAAGCATGACCTAACAATATGACAGAATCAGCCAAATGTTTTTCAGACTCTAACTTCCTATCCATAATGCAGTCAGGGGGATCAAATGAGATAACATAAAAGAAAGTGTTTTAAAAAGAAAAAGAACCAGGATTACTATAAATCTGGCATGCAGCCACCACTCATCTGTCAGTGGGGGTTTGGGTGCTGCTATCATGCAATGGGTTACAGCAGAGCTTTCAGACTACGATGGACTAGGCAGCAAGGCTTGGTGATCTATTTCAAATAATCAACCAACGATGCTTCTATGGATTACAATGGTCTGATCTGCAACCCATTAGGGGGATGGTGCAGGACTTGGCAGTATTTCATTCCCTTGTGCATGGGGGTCACTGTGAGTCAGGGGTCAAGAGGACAGCAGCTAACAATAACAAAACCAGCTTTATGGATCACAATTATTGTTTTTGTCTACCTAGCACCTCTCCTTATTCTCCTGTATTTCTGGTGGGGACTTCCAGTTCTGGAACAGGTAGTCCTGACTTAAGACATACACAAGTCATGACAAACCCTTATGACCATTCTTTTTAAAAAATTTTTTGGCATATATAACGTGCATATAACTAGAGAAGCAGGAAGTACCAATGTTGAAGCTGTAAGTTTATATGTAATGTTTCCAACCCCCAAAGACACAGATGGGGTTTATAAAGATACTAATAATAAAAGGCAATAATAATGAATACTGAAGAAAAAAAAAAAAAAAGAAACAAAACCCTATCTTATGTCAGGGACCACCTCTACTTTTCTCCAGCCCTGGAGAGCCTCCCAGGACTTTTCAAACTGTAGCTTGGGACAGGAGTAGGGCTGGAGAAACAACCCTAAAATAAACTCTTTTCTCTCAGATGCTAAGGTAGAACAAGCTCCAAGCTGTCCAAGGCTGAGGTGCTAACCTCATAAAGTGAGCCAGTTTGTGGGTGAGACCGACAGCAGAAGAGACAGAGCTGAGAGATGAACAACAAGCCCTGACGGCCTCCGAGTCTGGTGCCCACTTGTGTCTCTGCTACAGCCGCTTATATGAGCCAATCAATTCCCTTTTTTGCTTAAGCAAACTTAGGATGGGCTTTCTGTCACTTGCAATTGAAAGAGTCCTGATTAATATCCCATTTCTCTCCGCTGATGTGGCAAGAGGAGACCCACTAGGATTGAAATTTCAAGAGAGAGGAATGATTAAAAGTCTCACTTAGTGAATGTAGTATAAGGATATGTTTATTAACTCTCCCTCCTCAACTGGCACAAGCCTACCTGGGGATTCCGAATGTGGAATTCCTTCTCCCCTTCCTTAATTTGATGATATGGAATCCATTCTTCCTCCAGAGAGTCACTGGTGGTCTCGTTCTCCTCTGAAGCCTTCTTGCAGAAATAGGTGGCTGCAGCTGACTGGTCCCTGAAAAACACATGCTATCAGACAGAAACCAGGAGATACTCTTAAGCCTTTTTCTTTCCTTTAACAACTTCTCTCTTTGGGCCAAGACACTGTGAGTCCTGCTTTGGCTAGGAGGGAAGGAGATCTAGGGGTACGTGTAGTACATTACAAAAAAAAAAAAAAAAAACAGACTTTAGAGACAGACCTGGGCTTAAACCTCAAGTGAGCTGTATCACTCTGGACATTTAACACCTTTGAACCTTGTTTTTTCCACCTTCAAAATGAAGACAATACCTGCCTTGCGTGATTGTTGTGAAGATCAGAGATAATTACGAATAGGTGACTAGCCTATATTCTAGCCCGCTGCGGGATCCAACCCACGACAGGTCATTATGATGGTCAGCTCTCACCTGTGCTCTGACACAGCTACCACAAAGCCACGGGAGGCCAGCTCCATGCAGAAGGCTGAATACAGTGTCCTACAGATGCAGAAGGGATAGAGAGAAGTGCTCAAAACAATGGCCTAGCTTCATCCCTCATTCCAACCAGGCTCTGCTCTACGGGCCATCTCAAAAGGCTGAACAGAGAGTTTCATGCAGCCCTTATTGAGGTGCTCTCTCCAGCCAGCATACTCTCCTAGCTCTCACAAAGGCTCCAGGTCTCCTCCCCCAGAACCAAATCAAAAGAAACCCACTGACATTCTGACTCATAGCAATCCTACAGGGCAGAGTAGAACTGTGCCATAGTGTTTCCAAGGTTATAAATCTTTACGGAAGCAGACTGCCTTATCTTTCTCCTGTGGAACGGCTGGTGGGGTGAAACCAACAACCTTTTGGTTAGCAGCCCAATAAGGGAACTTTATAAGGGAACTTTTTTCCCTTATAAAGTCTTTGAAACTATAGCCCCACCAGAGCACCTTCTCCTCCAGAAAGCTAGTACGGAAATACTTTCAAATGTTGTTGGTACATCAATCCATTATGCTTTCAACTCCATAGAAACACTGACTCATCTTTTCTTCAGAAACATGATTTTGCTACTTCAACAATTGCATTTTTATTTATTTTATATATCTGTATATCTCCAAAAAATAAGATATAAGTTGGTAAGCTGCCTGAGGAGAAGGACCCTGGCTAATTCTTCAGCTGTGATCTACCATGTGGATTTTTTGTCTTCCAATATTGCAAGGGAAAAACAAGGTAAAAAATATATATGGTAGGCACTGCTAATTGCTTACCCCAAATACTTAAAAAACAGAACCTGATTTTCAGCTGAAGACACTGTCATTCCATCAAAATAGTGTATTCCCCAGCCCCCTCTGCAGCTAACTTAGGCGCTTCAGTTCTAGCCCAGCATGGCCCGACAGAAATATAATGCTACCCTCATGGATCTGTGTAGGAGACCCTGGCTAGAGTGGGAGAACTATGTAGAACAAAACTCACAATTACAAAAAAGACCAAGTTTGCTGGTCTGATAGAGCCTGGTCAAACCACTCAGACTATGGCCCCTAGCTGCCCTTCAGGTCTATATTATATATTATATATATATATGTGTGTGTGTGTATATATATATATATATATATATATATATATATATATATAAAATATTTAAAATATTATCATTTCAGTAAAAAATCAAAATTTTAAAAATAATCAAATATTTCACTTTTTTTCCCTTATAAAGTCTTTGAAATTCAATATGTATTTTATACTTACAGCTTCTGGCTGGAAGCTACTATACTGGACAGAACAGTTCTAGCCAATGAGATGTAAGCAGTTGTGTTATATAGAACTTCCAGGAAATCCCCTTAAAAAGGAGACTGCTCCCTTCCTACTGCCTGGAATGTAGATGTAATGGTTAGGGCTAAAGCAGCCACCCTGGGTCATGAGACAATTTTAGAAATGGAAGCCACACATGGCAGAGCAAGATTATAGAAGACTGATGACTTCGTAGAGCTACCCCATCAACCCTGGAGTGCCTGAGAGAAAAATAAACATTTTATCCTGTTTAAGTCACTAATATTTGTGGTTTTCCGATAAATATAATTTGCCTTAGTCCTAGTTTATTCAGGTCAGTTTCTTAAGTATCTTTTCCTCTCCCATCAGGAGAGACTATGAAAGAAATACTGGGCATTAAGAGTTGGAGAGATTTCTGATTCTGTCCTAATTGAAACTGTGTAACCTTAGGTAAATCTGTCTTTCTCAGCCGATTTGTTAATCTCTAAAATACGCATCCCTGACTGCCTCCTCACATGACTGGGAGAACCAAATGAGAGAGCGGCTACAAAGGCCTGTTGTCCTATTTAAATGTACATGCTCCTCCCTGGGATGGAAAGTTGTATATCTGTACAAATGGGAAGGGTTTGGGAGCCTGCATCAACCACTGATATAATGAGAAGAAACAACACACGTTTTCTTTATTTCTACTGTGGTTAATGAAGAGTATGTATAACTGCTCATCTAAGCCTACAGAGGTATGAAGTGTCAACACAGATTCTCAGACCAAAACGATCACTCTTCAAAGTCACGTGCTCCCCCGCTCTTTCTATAAAATACCTGTGGGGCTTAGGAGGAATGCCTTTTTGTTTCTTTCCCCACTAGACTATAATGCTCCTAAGAGAAGAACTTGAATACCCAACCGTAGTATAAACTCTGGCACATAACAGGTATTCAATTTATTGAATTTAAAACAGCACTGAAAACTATCTATTTGTCTTTCTAGCCACATCTCTGCAACTACTCTCCACTTCCTAGTGTGAGCTATAGTTATGTGAGTCCCTATTCTGGCTCCCCTGTTGTTATTACGTGCAGTTGAGTTGGACCCGACTCACAGCGACCCCTCCTTGGGTTTCTGAGGTGGTATCACTACGGAAGTAGATTGCCCAACCTTCCTACCAAGGAGTGGCTGGTGGGTTTGAACTGCCAGCCTTCTGCTGAGCAGTCAAGTGCCTTAGGCACTATACCACCAGAACTCCTCTAGCTCCCCTACTGGATACAAATTCCTTGAGGGCAAGGACCATGATTTATTTATCTCTGTATGTCCCACCTTCTTCTCATGTCAAGAACACAGAGCAGGTCTCAATACATGTTTGATAAATGAATGAATGAGAACTCAGCAAAACATAGCTCTTGTATTTAATCTCTCACTCATTTAGCAAACATCTGTTGGGAAACCACTGCTTGCCAGGCACTATCCTAGGCACTGGGAGAGATATAAGAGAGACATGGGCTCTGCCTTCATGGAGCCTAAAAGCTAGTAGGAAAAACAGACATTAAAAAACTGCACAAAAAATTAAATCATTACAGTTATGGAAGTGAATGGAAATTACGTATTACGAGATCACTGGAAAATTTATAGAGGGGCTAAGGATGGGTGTCCCTGAAGAAGTGACATACAAACCAAGACCTTGGTAATTAGATTTTAGCCAGGCAAAGACAGAGGGAAGAGAGAAAGAGAGGAAGAGAACAGCAACTATTCCAGGCAAAAGGAGCAGTCACAAGCACAGCACAGATGGAAACACCGAAGCAAGAAATAACACAGCACCTATAAGTAAGTGAAAAGCAGTCAGTTTGTCTGGAGAGCTAGAGGCGGCCACACAGCAAGAAACAAGGCTGGAGACATTTGGCTTGGGCCTACTTCCAGGTAAGACCATGTAAAGAGCTGGATTAAGTTCAAAGAGCTATTAGAAAGTTTTAAGTTGGGGATTGACATTCATTCATTCACTCAACAAGTATTTATCAAGCACCTATTACATGCCAGGTACTGTTCTAGGTGTGGGAATTACATTATATTTGGCTTTAAAACAGTGCTCTCGGGTTAGAGTGTAGACAGTGGTTTTGGTGGTAGGGAGGCAAGAATAGATGCCTTTGAGATGTGGAACATAATTAGACTTTATATATGTTGGATGGATAAATATAGATAAAGAACATTCACAAGCTTAAATTGGCACACACGTGCTACAGATATTAAGTAATATTAACACACCTATGTGTAGAAATAAGATTCACGGAAAGAATTCTGAATGAACACTGAATTACAAAACTCAGGGCAAAGTTTCCTAAAGTCTGGTAAAACCTGTCTTAGTTTGCCATCACCAAATTCCTCCATGAAGAGAATGAACAAGCGTGTGAACCTACTAGGTGCCAATCTAATTGAATTCTCATAAACAACCCTGTGAGAATGGCCTTTGCATTTGACAAATGATGAAATCTAGGCTCAGAGAATTATAAAACTTTCCCAAGCTCACACAGAGTACAGTGGTAATGGCTGAATTTGCAGGTTAGACTGCTAGCTCCTGGAGTACAGGGAACAAATCCATCTTATTCACTGCTACACCAGTGCCATGTACATATTAAAAACCCAAACCAAACCCACTGCCATCAAGCTGATTGCAACTCATACTGACCCTCCACTGGGTTTCAAAGGCTTAACTCTCTATGGAAGTAGAGTGCCTCATCTGCCTCCCACATGCACATAGTAGTCACGTGTATGTATCTAACACTGCTATACATTATATAAATGACTATAAAGCTCAGGCTCCTTCCAGTATTTTGGGGCTGTTATATAGGAAGAAAGCTAAACATGTATACTTATTATATAAATGCTGGAACATGAGAAGTGAAGGACATGAAGCTGAGAGAAAGAGATGAAAGGGGCATAGGAAGGCCTTCTAGAGAAGATGAACCTAATGTTATGGAGTGAAGTAGATGACAGACAGGACAGCTAACAGATGGAAATGTCTACTTTTCTGCCCTTTGAGAGTAGGTGCAGACTCAGCAGCTGTCATTAGGCAAGGACTATGCAAGGTCTAGGGGAGAGAAGCTCTTACCTGAAGGCTCCTAGGCCATGAGAGAAGATGACCAAGGGGTATCCAGAGTCTTTTGTCTTAAAGGGGCCATTCCAGCTGACAGGCAGGCGACAAGATCCTAGCAGAGACATGGGTTATAGGACTACTGCCTGACTCAACGCTGTGATCTCAAGGGCAGCCTGGCCATCGGTGAGGGCATGTGTCCCTCCCCTCTGGAGAACCACAGCCCCCCTCAGGCATCCCAGCGCAGTTCATCACATTCTCTGCCCCCCTTTTTTTTCCTCTAGGGAGTGGGAGCACAATAGAAAATGGAAAGACCAATCCAAAGAGGCAATATTGAACAACTATGGGTAAATCCCTGACATGCCAAGGCAGCAGGTAGAGCTCCTAGGAGTGAGGGCTTTGGGGCATTTGGATCATTTAGTGTGACCCTACCCAGAGGAGGAAGACTGCAGGAAAATGTATGTTCCTTGACGGCTAAGAATGTTTTTTGATTTACACAATAACTGGCACCAAATGGGAATTAATACATGCTGAATAAATGAGCAACAGCCACCATTTACAGACTGTTTTAAGTCCCAACCACTGCACTAGAGGGCTTTACATATACCCACACAACAACCCAGGAAGTAGGCATTTAAGGTGAGAAAAACCAAGGCTCAGACAGACAAGTAACTTGCCCAAGGTCTAGAGCTAGTTAACTAGAAAATCTAGATTTGAACCCAGGATAGCCTAACTGCAAAACCCAAGCTCTTATATATCTAAGTCTCTCCCAACTCTCCACACTACACCAAGCAAATAAATACCCCATTACCAAAGGCCTGGACAATATCCTCTACTGAACAATGCAAGCTATAAGATGTGGTGTTTCCCTGGTGATCTAGGAACATTACCAAGCAACTGGAAAAGCATCCAGGGGTCAGGCTAGCCCTTACCCACAGCCAGGTTGAACAGCAAGCCCCCCCAGTGTTTATTAAACTGCAGGTACTCGGCCAGGCCAGCGCAGTACTCATAGCGGGGAATCCACAAGGGCTGCTCCGTGGTTTCCTCTGCCTCTTGGCAGGGGTAGAAGAGTCGAAAGAAGCTCCCCTGCAGGAAAGAAGAGAGCAGCTACTGAGAGCAAGAAGCCCAGGCACTGCCAGATTTCCAACAGATACACCAACTAGCAAAGCAGAGCACCAAAATGGGGGAAACTGAAGGTTCAATCAATGTACCTGAATTTGCATTCAGAAGATCCAGAAAGAAATAATTTTATATTTAACATACATGTAAGTCTTATGCTATTTCAAATATCCAACTGTACTTTGAACTATATGTCTAGGGGGAACCACAGTATCTTCAGTGCTCGGGACCTCCCAAGTTAAAGCTGGCCCGGAACCCAGGCCAGAGGAGACCCAGGAGTTAGAGATTAGACCTGGCCCCTTGCATGGGGTGGGATCCGTGGGTGGCCCAGGCCACTCCTCCAGTCCAGCCCCCGGGAAGCAACAGCACACTCATTTTACATGGATGGGAGCAGGTGAGGGATTACCAGGAAGTGTGTGGCTCTCACAAGGGAGAGGGGGGAAGTCCAAGGGCCAGAAGAGAAAGATCCAGGAACTGATGAGGGAGATCCCAGGTGCCAAAAAAGGAGGGGAAAACACATGGAAGCAGGAGAAGAGAAAAAGGAGACTGTCTTCCTACGCAGCTCAGGGAGGCAAAGGCCAAGAGCACATGGCCCACTGGGTTTCCTCTCTTACATTCAGATTAGGGTGAGATCAACAACCTCTCCAGGATCTGCTCTCAAGTAAGGTGAGAGAATTTGAGTGCTGTTTTTGGAGTTGAAGCCTCCTTTCCTCCTAGCTGGAAAAAAAACCTCACCATCTCTGTACATTGAGGTGTTTATAATTAGGAGAAGGAAGAAACGCTCAGGGAAGACAGATCTGGGGTCTGAGAGGCAGAATCAATTGGACTTTATAAACATACCCTGACAAGCTCTGACTCAATTTCCCTCATCCTGGATTACACAATCAGACTTGCTACCAGGAGATCATGATGCAGGCAGAAGCAGTGGGAGATATGCAGGGACAGAGCAGGAGGCACTTACCTGGATACTCTGACCCTCCATCACATCCCCGCAGCCTACATGGTGGGGTCCTGTTACAGGCGGAAAGCCCACGGACTGGTTGCCTCCCATGTCATCACCAGCTGAATCAGACTTGAGCAGTGCTGTACTTGACGGCTGGAGGGTGGAACACAGAACAGCCTCTTGCTGGTTTCCTCTTAGCTTCCTGTTGCTTACAAGAGCCATCTGCCACCCCTCTCTGTCACCCATCCTCCTTGCCAGCACCTATTATGTGCTCAACATAGAAGTAACTGCTGCAGAGAGTATAACACAAAATTTGCTCTTATGATACTATTAATAACCACTATTATCTATTTTTCACTATGTGCCAGCACTGTACAAGCTCTTTACACATCACCACACTTAACTCTCAACAACTCTCTGAGGTAGTTACTAGTCCTTAGATCCTATTTTACAAACGAGGAAACTAAGGCATAAAGATATTAAAGTAACTTTCCCAATTACACTGATGTTGTTGTTGTTAGGTGCTGTCGAATTGGTTCCGACTCATAGTACAAAAGAATGAAAAACACTGCTTAGTCCTGCACTATCCTTACTCTCATCACTATGCCTCAGCCCACTGTTGCAGCCACGGTGCCAATCCATCTCATTGGGGGTCTTCCTCTTTTTCAATGACCCTCTACTTTACCAAGCATGATATCGTTCTCCAGGGACAGGTCCCTACTGATAACATGACCCAAACAGGACAGACAAAGACTCTCGATCCTCACTTCTAAGGAGCACTCTTGCTATGTTTCTTCCTAGGAAGATTTATTCATTTTTCTGGCAGTTCACGGTGTATTCAATATTCTTGCTAATACCACAATTTAAATGCATAAATTCTTCTTTAGTCTTCTTTATTCATTGTGCAGCTTTCACATGCATATGAGGTAACTGAAAATAGCATGGTTGGGGTCAGTCACACCTTAGCCCTCATCTTTGCCTTTTAACACTTCAAAGGCCTTCTGCAGCAGGTTTCCTCAATGCAATACATCATTTGATTTCTTGACTGCTCGTTCCATGGGCATTGATTACGGACCCAAGTAAAATGAAATCCTTGACAATTTCAATCTTTTCTCTGTTTATCATGATGTTGCTTATTGGTCCAGCTGTGAGGATTTTTGTTTTATGTTAAGATACGATCCATATTGAAGGCTGTAATCTTTGATCTTCATCAGTAAGTGCTTCAAGTCCTCTTCACTTTCAGCAAGCAAGGATGTGTCATCTATATATCTCAGGTTGTTAAGGGGTCTTCCTATAATCCTGATGCTGCATTCTTCTTCAACAGTCCAGTTTCTCTGATTATTTGCTCAGCATACAGACTGAATTAAGTTTGGTGAAAGGATACAACCCTTATGCACACCTTTCCTGACAGTAAGTAGCAAAATGACTAACTTCAGAAATTGAGCTTTTAATCATTACTGATTCTGCTCATGGAGAGATTCAGTTAAACTCAGTTACACAAATCACTGTCCTAAACCTTGTTGTTGTTGTTAGATGCCGTCGAGTTAGCTCCAACTCACAGTGACCCTATATACAACAGAATGAAACACTGCCCAGTCCTGTGCCAGCCTCATAATCCTTCCTATACCTGAGCCCGTTGTTGCAGCCACTGTGTCAATCCATCTTGTGGAGGGCCTTCCCCTTTTTCACTGACCCTCCACTTTACCAAGCATGATATTCTTCTCCAGGGTACGGTCCCTTCTGAAAACATGACCAAAGTAGGTCAGATGAAGTCTGGGCATTCTTGCTTCCAAGAAGCATTACGGCTACACTTCTTCTAGGACAGATTTCTTAGTTCTTTTGGCAGTCCATGATACTTTCAGTATTCTTTGCCAATACCACAACTCAAAAGTATTAACTCTTCTCTTCTTTACTCACTGTCTGGCTCTCACATACATATAACGTGACTGAAAATACCATTGCTTGGGTTA